CCCTTTCCTGCCCCTCCTCCTCCAGGCTTGGAATGAAATCTCGGGGCTCTGAGTTCCGCAGGAGGCCCCTACATAAACACTCTGATTGGGGCTAATTATAAGGGCCAGGTTGGGAGGCTGGAGACTTCAGAAAGCTTGGCTCTCAAACAAAGGGCTCAGCCCTCAGCCCGGCCGGCTCCTCTCCAGGCTTCATTAGGAATAAGGAGGGTCGTGGGCCATAGGCAGTCCTCTCTGAACCCAGTCAATACTCTCTGGGCTTATTTCACGTCCCAAGTCCCGTCTTGTCCTTTCTCCAGGCATCAAACCCCAGCCCTGCCCAGACGGTTTGGAAGGGCCACGAGGCAGGCAGAGGCTGCCTGCCCTGGAAGGCAAGGCAGCCCGGGAGGGGCTCTCAGGCCATGGGGCAGGGGCTGGGGCTGGGGCTGGGGCCGAGCCGGGGGGGGGGGGGGGGGGGGGGAGGCGCTGGGGAAGCCAGCTGTGACAGCCCTAGCCCTAATTAGCCGGCTTCAAAGCCGGCTGGAGAGAGAGCCCGCCCGCGTGTGTGCCCTGCTCACTCAGGCGGGTAAGACATTTCTGTCCTAATCAGAGGAGAGACTGAGAGAAAAACACGGCCCAACCAGCCCCAAGAGCCCTAGACTGCGAGCTAGCACCCAGAGTCAGGTGCAAACCCTGGGAGCCCAGGAAACCACTCTGTTTTGTTAAAACTACCAGCAACAATAGGGTAGAAAGCCCCGAAGAAATGTACCTCCTTTGATGCGGTGATGCTTTTAGGAATTAACCTAAGTAATGGGAAGAGGGCTACAATTGACTGAAGTTTCCTTTTTCTTTTTTTTTTAAAGATTTTATTTATTTATTTATTTGAGACAGAGAGAATGAGAGAGAGAGCACATGAGAGGGGGGAGGGTCAGAGGGAGAAGCAGGCTCCCTGCCGAGCAGAGAGCCCGATGCGGGACTCGATCCCGGGACTCCAGGATCATGACCTGAGCTGAAGGCAGTCGCTTAACCAACTGAGCCACCCAGGCGCCCTGACTGAAGTTTTCTGTGCTGGTTCTGTACCCGCACCCTCCCATCTAATCCTCACGCAAGCTTGCGGGGCAGGTACTGCTGCTTTTTTACTGATGAGGACAGGGACTCAGAGGTTAGGAGATTTCCACAGGGCTCAGAGCTGGTGCCATCTCGTGCCCAAGCCTGCACTCGCTCCCATGATCTGCCTGTGTGTGTCTGTCTTTTGCCTGTTTTTTCCCCTCTACTACAAAAATATTACTCATTCCACTCTGCTGCACTCGGTAATTTGTTGCCTTCCAGAGAGGCAGGGTTGCGGGAATAATCTGGTTTGGAGGGTGTTCCTGGTTTTATAGATCTGACGGTTTTCCCTCCTGAACCCCCTTTCCATAGCAGAAGTGATTAGACACTTGGGGGAGCACTGGAGTCCCCCCAAGAAGGTAGAGGAAGCCCATTGGAGAGGTGGAGATATCCGCTCATCAGGACTAGGAAATGTCTAAACCAGGAATTGGAAAGCTAGTTTGGGGATGGGGCAGTGGGCACAGATAGAGAATTCATCAACCCCTGAAAGTTACACGCAAAATTGTGTGTTCAGGAGAGTCTGGCCATTTTCTCCTAGGACAAGCTCCAAAGATTTTTCAGGTTCTCAGATGGGTCAGTGGCCCCAGTTTAAAATCCATCTTGAGGAAAGGAGGGTGAGTCTAGGGAAGGAAGGGACTGTGCTACAGTGAGCAGGTAGATGATCAAAGGCACGATGCCTCAGATGTGGCAGAATCTGGGCTCGGCTTCCCCAGACATGGGCCCCATGGCACCCTGGAACAGCATCTCTCCACTTCCAGAATCCAGTCCAGATCTAGGGCTCCAACACCTTAGAATACAGAAGTCACCATCTCCAGATGCTGGTGATCCTCACTCTTTGGGGACGTTCAGAAGAACTTTGTTGTGGAAAACTTGAGTGTCCTCTTCTGGTTCTTAAAGGACAAAGAGTCTGTAACTAATGGAACCATTTTCAGGAGGGGAGTTGGGAGCGGGGTGGAAAAGCCAAAGTCTGATCAAGGGAGGAGGGAGGAGTCTGGAGAAAAAAATGACCAGAGCCTAGAACCTAGAGAACCAGATGCTCCTTTGTGGTATGGGGGAGGATGGGAGAACAGGTAGAAAGCAGCTGTGTTGGAGACTGGCCTCAGGTGAAAGACCTTACCTTTGGGCCCTTTACCCTCCACCAAAGCCTCACTCTTCCAGAGGGAAGACTACCCATAGGGTGACTCAGAAATCTGCAAAAGCAGACCTCCAAGCCTGGGTGTTTAACTGGGTTTTCCAAACAAGGGAGTGGAGACCCCTCTCCAGGTGTGGCAGAGCTCAGGTAGTTTGCCTCTGGGTCTCTGCTCCAGGCATGGTCTTTCCTAAATTCCCTGCACTTTGGGCTAACACTTCCCTTCCTCTGAGAGCTGGTTCATTAAAGCAGTGAGAACAGGTAGGCAGGAGATCCCCCACTACTTTCTATAAGGTAATTAGCCCTTGGGCCCCCCATTGGGGAAGGGGAGGGCATCTAGAACTGTCCTTTCCAAAAGAGGCAATTATTATTTATTCTGTTCCCGCCCCCCCCACCATAAAACCTATTTTTTTCGTTTTCTTGGGCCCTCTTCCCCTCCATTGGCAGGCGACCTTCAGGGAGGGAGGTTAAGAAGGAAGAACAATCTTTACCAAAATTCCCTCCCTCTCACCCCCACTCAGGGAAGGAAAGGAAAGATCATTGTTGTTAGTCTACCATGTGCTCCTGCTATCAGCGTGAGGGTCCACTGACAAATGTACCCAAAGCAGGCAAAGATGGGCTCCTGGGGGCTTAGAGGCAGGAGGGGTGCAGGGAGGGTCTTCCCCAAATCTTCAACAGAGACCAGCTAGCTCTCCTCTTCCCACCGGGCTCCATCCCCACCACTGGAACCCCCGCCCTTCTCAGGCTTTCACCATTCTTTCCCGGAGAGGCACTCAGTTTGTAATTTAACTCTTTCCTCCAGACCTTGTGGGGTTCCTTTAGAGTTTTGCAACAAATGGAGCTACAGGGGAGTGACTCCCCTGCCTGCTTCTTTGATAGTTGTTGATATTATCTCATATTGGGACTTCACACACACAATCATTTGAGAAAAAGCTAGTTTTAACTTATAATGTTGACCACCCGCACAAATCATTTGGGGGAAGGTTATATATTTTGGGAAGGGGGCTCTGCTGAAATCCCCAGGCTTCATACAATTCCAAACAAAGCCCCACATACGACTTCAATTACCACCAAACATTTCCAGGTCCCCTCCCCCAACATAAACTAACACACACAAACACATCGAAGTAGGGGTTCTAACTTACTTTCTCCCTTGTCCCAAAGGCTGCCAACAAAGGGTGATAAGGCACCATTTCCCCCATTTTTTAGCTAAAAAAAAAAGCAAGGTCTGGGGCAGGGAACCTCTTCTCCACCCCACCCCCAACCAAGTAGGTCGGGGGAGAGGGAAAGAGGGGGTGTGGTTTGGTTAAACTAATAAAATGTTACAACCCTGTTAAATACAATTAAAGGGCTAGATCTCTAGAAGATAATTAAATGCACTTTATTATGATTATTAGCTTTTAATTTGCACTATTATCAAGAAACAGGAGATGGTGAAAAACCGAGTTCTGTGCCACACTGGTTCCACTCTACCCCTCGATCTTCAAATCAATCCTTTGGAATTAAAATTCTAAAATATTCCGAATAGTTGAGGGCAATGATGTGTATTGGAAAACTGCAATTCTCATACCAGCGTTAAAGACACTTTAAGAAAAGTCTTGCCTTTTATTTGGGGGGGCTTAGGGGGAAGATAAGAAACATCTGTTATAAACATTCTATCAATCTTGTGATATAGAATGTCATGTAAACACCCAACCCCACCCCCCCACACACAGTCACAAAGGGCCTGCCCAGAGCCTTCCTCCAAAGCAAAGATACCCACTTTTTTTTCTTTTCTTTCTGGACAAGTTTGAAAAGAAACCAGTCTTTTGTCAAAGGAAAACTAAAAATCCCACCAGCCCATCGGTCCCCTCCCTCCAACCCAATCCATTTTTATTGCTGTTTTGGGGGGGAGGAAACCCCAACAACAAAAACCTACACATAACACACGAACCAACCTACAAACTTCTAATCTGAATGCCAGAGAAGATATTAGGTTGGGGGGACTGGCAGGGGGGGGGGGGCGGAGGGGGGGCAGCGGCAGGGAGCCAACTACGGGGGAAGGAGAGAGACCCACGGGCATCTCCAAACCCCAACATTTGCGAGCTAAGGCTCCCCCTAAAAATGGAGACAGTCGGGATTGGTACTCAAGGTACTCAAAAAGCACTACAAAGCACTTTCTGCCCACTCCAAGCGCTTAGGGCAGCAAGCTGAAAAGAAGAAAAGTCAAAGAGAATAAAGATGTTCCAGCCTGTAGGAGAGTAGGCCAGTGGGGAGTAGGCCATTCTGCACCCCATCTCACTCGCTGGGTTAGGTCCTCCCCCTACGTCTTCTCTTTTGGGAGTGTTCCAAAGATCGAGTGAAGTAGACAGGACATGTGGGGAGAGAAAGGGAATAACACAAGAAGAATCCAAGTCTTGTTCAGAAATACCCAACAGCTTCCACAGGCCCAGCGTCAGTGAGAAGGCTCACAAATTTGGCTTTGGGAGTTGAATGTAACCAACTTCCAACTCCTCACAGCCAACACCTCTTCCAGGAAGCCCAGCCCTGCCAAAACACCAAAAACTTCGAACCAAAGTAGGCGATGGTGTTTGAAAAGGGCACTGGAGAAAGGAGAGGACCCCCCTCAACGCCTCCTCCTCTCATTCCTCAGACCCGGTGCCCCTTGCCGCCCCCCCCTTTTTTTCCGTTTTTCGTTTAAATAGAAAATATATAATTAAATTTACAAGACTATTTACAGTTTTAATTACAAACCTGATGGGGGTGTTGAACAGAGTTCTCTTTAAAAAGCAACCTAAAAGAGAAATGGTTTCGATTGTTCTTTATTTAAAAAAATAAAATAAGGAGTCTGTAGGAGGCCTCCCCCCACCCCCCGCAGGGGCAAGCCCCGTGCTGGGGACCGCCCCGGGGCCGCGGCGCTGGGGCGGCCCCTCACACGGTGGTCTCGCCGTGCCGGCTGTTGGTGAGACGGGTGTAGAACTTCCTCCACGAGTGCAACGTCTTGCCGGACCAGATCCAGAAGCCCGACGTGATGCCCACGATGAGCGTCATGAGGTATTTGATCATGTAGACGGTGAAGTCGGGCGACATGCGCGGCGTGTAGTGCGCCGGGCACGGGATGGCCAGGCTCTTGCAGTGCTGGCTCACCCACGAGCGCTCCCAGTGCTCTCGAAAGGCCTGCTCGTAGAAGTAGCAGGCGATGACGATGGTCGCGGGCACGGTGTAGAGCACCGAGAAGACGCCGATGCGCACCATCAGCCGCTCCAGCTTCTCCGTCTTGGTGCCGTCGTGCTTCATGATGGTACGGATGCGAAAGAGGGACACGAAACCGGCCAGGAGGAAGGACGTGCCTATGAACAAGTACACGAAGAGCGGCGCCAGCACGAAGCCCCGCAGCGGGTCCAGGCTGTTGAGGCCCACGAAGCACACGCCGCTCAGCAGGTCGCCGTCAATCTGGCCCATGGCCAGGATCGTGATGGTCTTGACGGCCGGCACGGCCCACGCGGCCAGGTGGAAGTACTGCGAGTTGGCCTCGATGGCCTCGTGGCCCCACTTCATGCCCGCCGCCAGGAACCAAGTGAGCGACAGGATGACCCACCAGATGGAACTGGCCATGCTGAAGAAGTAGAGCATCATAAAGAGGATGGTGCAGCCCTCCTTCTTGGTGCCCTGCACTACCGTGCGGTAGCCGTCCTCGGAAAAGCGCTCGTTGCACACGACGCGCTCCTGGAGCACGAAGCCCGCGATGTAGGCCACCGAAACCATAGTGTAGCAGCCGGACAGAAAGATGATGGGTCGCTCCGGGTAGCGGAAGCGCTGCATGTCTACCAGGTACGTCGTGACGGTGAAGAAGGTGGAGGCGCAGCACAGCACCGACCAGGTGAGGATCCAGAGGCGCGCAAAGCGCGTCTCCTCCTGCGAGAAGAACATGGAGCCGTCGGGCCGCGCGGGCTCGCAGGGCGCCGCGCAGTCGCGCTCGCCCAGGAACTTGTAGCTGAGATAGGACGGCACCTTGAGGACGCGCGGGCAGTGGAACGGGTGCTCCAGCGTGGCGTAGCGCGGGGGAGAGCCGCCGCCGCCCGGGCCGCCCGGGGTGCCCCCGGCCCCCGGCTGCAGGCCCGGCGGGGGCGCGGTGGTGAGCAGCGCGGGCGTGCCGTCCTCAGAGTGGTTCTGGCCCACGCAGATCTGCTCGGCGCCGTGGCGCGGAAAGTGCTCGCAGCGCAGGCGCTCGGGCCACTGGAAGCCGAACTTGTTCATGAGCGCCTCGCAGCCCTGGCGCGCGCGCTCGCAGATGGAGCGGCACGGCGGGATGGCCTGCTCCAGCACGGTGCACACGGGTGCGTACATGGAGCACAAGAAGAAGCGCAGCTCGGGGGAGCACTGCACCTTCACCAGCGGGTAGAACTGGTGCACCTCCAGGCCCGCGTCCTCCTGGTTCGTGTGGCCCAGAAGGTTGGGCATGATGGTCTGGTTGTAGGCGATGTCCGTGCACAGAGGGATGGAGATGGGCTGGCAGAAGCCGTGGTCTGGGATGGAGATGCCCTTCTCCCCGTGGAACTGGGCCGGCCCGGCGGCGGGCAGCAGCAGCAGCGGCAGCAGCAGGCGGGGCAGGGCGCTGCGGGGCCGCATGCTGGCCGCCGCCCCCCACTCGGCTCCCGGGCGCCCCCCGCCCCCGCCCCCAGGCCCGAGACCGCGCGCCTTCCCCGCCGCCGCCTCGCCGCCGCCTCCCGCGCCTCTTTGCAAAGTTTGCTGGCGGCCGCAGAGTTGGGGAGGCCGGGCGGGGGAGGGGGGCGGCGCGCCTGCCGGCTAGCTCGCCGCGGTCCGACTGAGCCGCCCGAGACACCGCGCGCGGCGTGCCCTCTCTCCTCTTCTTCCTCCTCCTCTCGCCTCTCCCCTCCCTTCTCCGCCCAGCGACTCCTTTGTGCGTTCCTCCAGCCCTCACCTCGGCCTCTCCGATCCCAATTAGTCGGTTTCAAGGGGGCCCCCGCCGGCGGCCCCGCCCTCCTCTCAGCCCCCCAAAAAAGGGATCCTTGAAACCGCCCCGTCGAGCTCTAAGCACCATCCCAAAATGTGCTCTCGGCCAATCAGATTTAAACCCCAGGACCAGCCCCGAGGGCTGGATTGGTCGACCACAACATAATGAGATCAGAAACCAGATGCCAACAAAACTTCCCCCCCGCCTTTTGCTTTTTAAAGAGACAAGCTATTATTATATTAAGGGCTGTTTGCCCAGCACGGGATTTCTCCGGAGTCGTGGCTGCGAGATCCGGAGACACACATTCCCCAGAACTGCGGCAGACCCAAGCCACTCAGCCCTGGATCACTCTTCTTCTGGGGGGCTAAGGCGCTCTCCCCGGTAGGGACTCTTTAAATCCTTGCCTCCGCCCCTGCTCCTAGAACCCCACCTATTCCAGTCCAGTTTTTCAAATCAAGTGAAAAACCTCAAGTTTGAGAAAATGTTTAAGAGAGAGAAAGACTTAAAAACGAGCGGCTCACAAAGACTTTTCTCCAGCTCCTTCTCAAGGAGTCCAGACAAAAGTTTCACCTCACCCAGTACGTAGACCCCTAGGAGTTGGCCTCGCCCCTCCCCCTTAAACACACCCTTAAATAACCCTCTGAAAAATGAGAGCCTGTCTCTTTAAGAGCCTCTTAAAGGGGCCTGGACTCCGGGGCGTAATTGCCCCGTAGCGAGCACAAAGGAGCCCATTATGGTTCTTTGTGTTCGGTGGCACCTCAAAGTGAGAAAACTCAGGAACTTAGAGGCCCAGAGCTGGAGGGTTGGGGCGGGGGTGGAAGGGGGAGAGGTGAAGGAGAATGGCCCAGAGCTGCGGCTTCTCCCTCCCCCTTCTTCCGAGGCAAATCTTAATTATGCAAAGTAAAGTTTAGTTGCCATAACGAGGAGGTCTTAATCGAAAGTTAATGGTGGGGGGTGGGGGGTGACGGGCAGTTTTGAGTGAAGAGATGACTCTCTTAGGCCGTTTGGGGGCATTTTCCTCCTCTCTCCCCACCCCTGCCTCCGCCCCCTAAAAGCTTCCAGATACTGTCTCCTGGGAGAGAGAGGGGAGCTTTACCCAAACCTTAAGTGATTCCACACCAGAAAGAGGTGGAGTGTGTGGCGAGGGAGAGGCTGGGGGGTTGTGGTGGATTACCCACCCCTCCCCCCATCTCTCACCTGGTTGGGGATGGGTGGTGGCGGCCTGAAGGGTTCCTACTAGTTTAGAAGGGCCTTCTTATTTTCCCGTCCTAGGATTTTAAATTTGGGAAGGGGTTGGGAGGAGGGGGGGGCGGTGAGGATAGGAGGGATTTGCATGTAAATCTCCAGGGCCTGATACTGGATGATGGATCAATTATTTCTACCGTCTCTTCCAAGGGAAGGGGGAGGGTACTTAAAAAGAAAAAAGAAAATTGAGTTTTGAAAACCCTTTTGCTTCTCAGTACAAACCAAGTCATCCCAGCCTGGTGAGCTGTTTCCTGCTGCAATCTAGAAAAGTGTTGCTTTACAAACCAAACAGAAACAACAACAAAAGAAATTTGAGAGAAAGAAAGAAGAAAGGAATAGGCAGAAGAAAAAAAAATTCTAAGTAGGTACATACAACAGATCCAGGTTTGACAGGATTCGAATTTTTTTTTTCCTGGATTGAATGATAAACAGGTTTTCAAGTTCTTTACAATATGAAAATGTTCCTTATTGTATCCTGGAGAAGTTGCCTTTTCACTACTTTAGGAAGAATATTTTCCTTCAAATCAGGGGGATGCGCTTTTTGCTCTCCATTCCATTTCCAGTTCACCCTGAAATCCACTTGGTTATAGAGCAGTCTGGGGAGGGGAAAGTTGTACTCTGGGGGCCCAAACCACACCTGAGGTGCTCCTCCTTCAGATCTCCCCCTCCCTGTGTATGCCTGCACTTCTCTAGAGTGGGACCAAGCCTCTGAGCTGAGCAGGGAAAACAAAAATGAGTAAGACAGGCTCCTACTCTCCATTCAGGAAGCTCACCGTCTAATAGGAAATTGAGAGTCGATCTGCAATAGAAATGCAGCATCTTCAATTTCCTTCCACGACAAACCTGTTTTCCTGCCCTGGGGCCAGTTTTGAGTGACAGTTATCTCTTCCCCAGCCACGCACACAAAGGGGGAACTGGATGGGGAGAAAAGAAATCATAGGCATTCTTTTATTCACTCAGAAAAGCGTTCATTCCTTCAACACACTTTTATTGAGTCTTCTCCTAATTTCAAACCACTGTGATAGTGCTGCGGGGGAATGCAGAGGAAATGGCAGCATCCCTGTCCTTCAGGAGTTTAGGGTATCCCGGAAGAATAGTCATTCTATTGAATGAAATGAAATCACAATATTTCATGATTACTCTTGCCTTTTCGTGTGAGGATCTGGAGTGTGAACAGGACCAGAACCTACATCTTCAGATTTCAGGTTTATCCACCCCACCTTCCACGCCACAAACCCACCTTTTAACGGCAGGAGATCTGTAACTAAAGGCAATTAACAGATTCTCTCAGTTTAAACACTAGATGATATCATTTGATAGATACGACACTTAATTCTGATTTTTTTTTTTTTTTAATTAGCTTGAGCACTGACCTGGACCTGATCCCTAACTTGGATAGTCATTTCACTTCTTTGAACCTTAGGTTCACCATCTGCAAAGTGGGAATGAGCCAGCAGATTTTTAAAATACGAGACTACACATCCAAAGTAATTTCATAATAACAGGAATAAATTTTATAATTATGAAGAACCTTTCAAAACAGGAAGTTACATGAATTAAATACTTACTCAGCAAACATCCTTGGATACACACATGGTAACTACTACCATTTATTGAGCTCTTACTGAGCACTGCACACATATTATGTGTATCCCCACACAGTAGGTATTGCATTGTGTTTATGGATGAAGAAACTACAATTGAAAATAAAATAAAATTCATTCATTCATTCAAGATGAAGAATCTGACCTTAGATGAGATTTGACAACTTTCTCAAGGTCACAAAGTGTCAGAGCTGAGATTTAAACCCAGGCCTGCTTGGCTCTTAAAGCTGTATTCTGTCCCCTACACCACACAGCCCCTGATGTCTTATAAGAATTATGTGCTTTTAAGGGCGCCTGGGTGGCTCAGTTGGTTAAGCGACTGTCTTCGGCTCAGGTCATGATCCCGGAGTCCCGGGATCGAGTCCCGGGATCGAGTCCCGGGATCGAGTCCCGCATCGGGCTCCCTGCTCAGTGGGGAGTCTGCTTCTCCCTCTGACCCTCCCCCTTCTCATGCTCTATCTCATTCTCTCTCAAATAAATAAATAAAAATCTTTATAAAAAAAAAGAATTATGTGCTTTTATGCACTTAACAACTAGGTATTGATCACCAGACCCAACCCCTGTTCCTGTGCAGTTTATGTTCTAGTGGGAGAGGGAGACACATTCATCGTATGTCACTTAAATGGATGCAAAATTGCCACAGGATTCAGTGCTATGGAGGGAAAGTCGATGCTTTGGCAGCATAATACAGGAGGGAATCGGACTGAGTTGGGGAGGGCAGTGGAGGACTGTGTAGTTGTAGTGAGAAGTAAAATAGAATGAGGTAAAGAGAACCCAGATCTACAGGGCCTTGCAGACCATGTGTAAGGTGTTAGGTATAGAAATATGAACCTACCATCTCAAGGTGGGGATAGGCATTCCAGACAGAGGGAATGGCACGTGCAAGGGTGTGGTGAGATCAAATGGATGGAATGGGCAGGAAGCACAAGTATACACAAATTTGGCCCTGTTGGAGCCCTGTGTGGGAGACTGATGGCAGAGGAGATTTTAAATAAGCAGGGACCCTAGAAATTGTGCACCCAATCTGGACTCTTGCCGGTAGAGATACGCTGAAGTGTGGGGAAGGGAAATAGTCATGCCTATGCTTTATTTTTTTTTAAAGATTTTCTTTATTTGTGAGAGAGAGAGAGTGAGCACAAGCAGGGGGAGCAGCAGAGGGAGAGGGAGCAGGCTCCCCGCTGAGCAGGGAGCCCCATGCGGGACTAGATCCCAGGACGCTGGGATCATGACCTGAGCCGAAGGCAGACGCTCAACCAACTGAGCCACCCAGGCGTCCCCATGCCTAAGCTTTAGATAGCGCATTTGGGCAGCGGTGGGCAGCATGACTTGGCTGAGTCAGAGATACGAGTTAGGAATAGCTTACAAGAGTCAGGGCAAGAGATGTTGAGGGCATCCATTGAACTGAGGCCGTATAGTTGGAGAGAAGAGAGAGTAAGGGAGGAGGCCAACCAAGGTGTCTGACCAAGATGCCCTGATGTCATTAACGAAGCTAGGAAATGCGGAACAGGATGCATAATGAGCACAGGTGAGCTGGTCTAAGCTGATGGTACATCCAACGGAAGGTGTCCAGAAAACAGGTGGCTATCCTAACCCAGGGGCCAGGAGGGAGCTCTGGGCTAGAGTCAGATCTGGTAACTTTATTCTATGGTTGTAGCTATGGGGGTGCTTAAGATCACCCAGAAAAGGTGGATTGGGTGGGAAGACCAAAGCTTTGGAGATACCAACATTGAGGACCAGGAGCTGAGGAGGAGGGAGAAGGAGAAGGAGCGGTGGGGCCAGAAGAAAGTCTAGCCAACATGTGAATGTCATGGGCTTGCTGACACTGAGAGCCTCAGGTCGGTTGAACATGAACAGTTGAACACAGCTTGTTTCAGTTGTGACAATTAAATGAGGTAGAGTATGGCACTCACTTGACCTGATACTAGGCTAAAAGCTTGAAAAATAATAGCTCTTGGGTTTTTTTTTTAAGATTTTATTTATTTATTTGACAGAGAGAGACACAGCGAGAGAGAGGGAACACAGCAGGGGGGAGTGGGAAAGGGAGAAGCAGGCTTCCCGCCGAGCAGGGAGCCCGATGCGGGGCTCGATCCCAGGACCCTGGGATCATGACCTGAGCCGAAGGCAGACGCCCAACGACTGAGCCACCCAGGCAGCCCAATAGCTCTTGTTTTTAATTCAACAAATTTGTGAACACCTACTAGTTGCAAAGCAGACAAAGTCTATAGAGACCTAGGTTCCAGCTTCAGGAAATTTAGGGTCTAGGGGGTGACAGTCTGCCATGTGCTGCAGAGAGCAGATGCTGTTCAGCCCTGAGGAACATTTCTGGTTGGTCTTGGG